GTGATGGCTTTTTTTTAAAAGCAATTTTAATCCAAGTAGTAGCACCTTTGCCTAAGTGAACATTTGTGTGACCTAGTATGTTGCTGTGCAGACATAATGGGTGAAGCAGGTGATGTCACTGTGTGCTCAGAGATTAATACAGTTGTAGTGAAGAAGGCCTCTCCCTGAGAAAAATACAGCTGAAGCTCAGCATCAGTGACTTTCCTTATCTGGACCAACTTGGTCAGAGGAGATCACCAACACCTGCAAGCAACTGCATTGCTTGGTGAGGATGGAAACAAAGATTTTGCACAGACAAGTAACATGTGAGTTAGTACAAGAAGCCTCTGTCCCTGGAGAGCTGGAGGCACTGGGGCCGACAGAGCAGAGGGGTTGGTATGTGCTTTCTCTCCCCAGAATGAGAAGCTCCCTGAGGTGTTTTGTGAGGGAGTCCCTGCGATGCAAGGCGAACCTGCTCTTCTAAGGTTGCCAAAGCCCAAGACAGGGGTCAGAAGATGGGTGCAAAGCCTCGAATGAGGAATACTAATGAATTATTCATGCAGGAAACTGAAAATGCTGCCCTCTTCCTTCCTTTCATACAGTTCGAGGTCCTGCAGCCTCTATTTTGGCATGCATTTGTAATGTAAATTGTCTCCTGGATTAAAGGCAAGGGGGATCACCAAAACTGTGTGGTTGCTTTGGCAGTTAGTTGATGGTATTACCAGGGATCTGCACGGCAGTAGCTAAGGCCAGAATATAGAAATTAACAGAATAAAAAGCACTGCAATAATAATCTTTTCTCTTTAGATATTCTTTGCTGTGTGAAATAACTTCTGAAATTGAGGCTTTGTGTGACTCCAAGAGTCACACATGTTGCATCACTGTGAGTGCACTAGTGAAAGTGAACTGTAATTTATTAGCTGTACAAGGACCCCTCCTCCTGCAGTTCCATAAGGCTTGGCTGCATGATATCCCAGCAAATGATAAAGCAAAGTTGGAATCCAAATCTTTCAAGCCACAGAACCAGGCTCTGACCTATGGAAACTCTAGTTTGTTGAAAGTGAAATACTTTACATATTTGTTTTCTGATCTAAGATAAGTAAAAAATGAGAAGATATTATCTCTTGCTCAGACAGAAGTGAATTTTGGATGCTACAAATTACTTTCCTGTGAGTGCTCTTTCTTGCAGATGCTACTACTCCTTCCTGTAATTACACTGACTTTGTTTGCCAGATGTTCAGTGACAACATTATACTGCTGTAGTCTGTTTTCCAGTTGCTTTATTTGTTCCTAGGGCAACTCCTTTCTTGCCTTTTCTTTCGGGAAGGAAATAGACAAAGAGAAAAATCCTTTACAAATGTTTTAAAGTGCAAAGGCTTGGACAATGGATTTTGTCCCTCTCTCCCTGTCTAACTGAAACAATGAAAGTCCTGCACTTTAATCTTCTTAGCCCCAGGGGGTCGTCTAATTATTGCAGCTGTTGCACAGGCTTATACATACTGACGTCCTCCTCCCATTCATCTTAGAGGCTCTTTTTTATGTCCATTAGCTTCTCACTGGAAATGGAAGAGCCTTCAACTCTAAGAATAGGTGAAGTTTACCTTTTGGATCAGAGTGAGGAGAACAAAGCATTCTCCAAGTTCCTTTCCAGGACTTACAAATGACCAAAGGCTCTTCCCAGCACTGCAAAAGCTACTTTAAATTGGCAGTGATTTTTAACTCTTTAGTTGTGCCTCATTCAGGTATCCCAAACATAGTCCAGCTAGGAAGGACGGTGGTTGCTTCCAACGTGGAAGAAAGGAGGGGAGAAATAGTTGGTTGTGCAGAATTCACTCATATATTCAACAGTAGGAAGCTTTAAAAAAAATTACAAGTTCAGTGAAATCTGTTGCCACCTCCTACTAAGTTAATAAGCCTTTTTGTTGTTGTGAAGCAGTGCTCTTGGGCCCATTTGCAATCACACAGCATCAGTTAAGCAATCTTGTAAAAAAAAAAAAAAAAAAAGCAATCTGAATTAAGATAAAATACATTTTAATTAAAATCAAAACAAAAATTGGATTAACAAATTGCTTTATATCCTTGAGCATTTCTGGTTTGACCCTGAGTTACAGAGTCAGTGTAAAATATTATGTACTACAGAAATGCCAATGTTACAAAAAAAAATTAATAAAAAAAAATGTGTGTGTATTCAGTGATAACATGCAGTTGCCAGATGCCCAGCTTGTGAATGTTATTAGGAGTTCTTATGAGTTCATACTTATGATTCAGGAGAGATGTTTTATTCCTTCTGTTGTGAGTCCTGTGTCTAGACACATTTCTTTTGTCTAGATCTAGAACACCAATCAGGTCACTTGAACTCATGTTTTTGTTTATTACTGTACCACTGAAGATGCATATTTATACCAGCACATAACTTGCTTTTTCTGTCAAAAAATATTACTAAATTCTAAATATATTAAACCAAATATTTTAATGAATAGCACAGCTGTAAGAAAAAAAATATAAATAATATTATTGTTATTTTAAGCTTTTTAATTGCTAATGTAATTAGTTACTTTTGTCTAACCCTTATGTTGTCAGGTAGTGCTCTGTGTGGGACATGTGATAAAGGATTGTGTTTTTTAGGGTTCACAAAGCCAAAATATGCACACACACACACACACATATATGCACATGTATATATAAACAAAGTTTTGCTCATCTTGTGTATGTGTAAATTTGCCCTAAACAGGCAGTGCCCTGTAACTAGAGAAAATGCAGGGATGCAGGAGCTAGTAGAGCTCTTTCACTCTCTCCTGGTATCTAGTTCACGTTAATAAGAAAATGTGCCTGAGACTGTGCTCTAGCACTGAGGCTGTCTGGAACGGTGTGGCACTCATCCAGGCAGTTATGCTCCTCTGGCTCCCAGCACGGGATGGAGATGCCCATTGAAAGTTGTCCCTGGTCTTGGCTAGCTCCTGAAGTCTACCCAGAAATTGTTTGGAAGAGGGTTATGGGGCTCAGACCAAATACTGCAGTGAACTAATCTAACAATTAAACAGTCTTGATGACTGAGTTGTAGGTAGCTGGAAAATTTAATTGAGTAATATAAGCATAGCCATAATTTTTCAGGGTGTATTCTTCACTTGTCAGTGATGCCAAACAATACTTGGGTCCGTTTGAAGCTGGAATTGCATCATCATTTTGAAGAAGCACTCCTTGTGAGGGGTTCTGTCAGTGGCTCTGAAAAGGCATTTTATGGGGATGCTAGTGGTCTGTAAGCTTCCAGTTAGTGGCTGCAGCTGCTGTGTGACTCTATATTAAGTGATGAAATAGGGGGATTCCCAGGGTTTCTTCTTCTATCCTATTTCCCTGCTAGTGGCTTTGAAAAAATTATTTGATGATTGAGTTTTAACCTATTTTTGAGTAATTTTCAGATAATGTATTCTATTTTAATTTCAGAAAGTTCCTTAATGAAAAGAAAAATATGTGTTTTTTATTTATTGACCATATCAAGATCTTTGATAAGTGGCAACATTTTACTGAATTTGTCTCCATGAAAAAAAGTATTTCTAAATGTGTTGGACTCTCTTGAATCAACATTTTACTAAGTTACCGACATTCCTATTTACTTGTAAATTAGCAGACTTCTTCTATCTTTCAACAATGCTCTAATAACAAGGACCTAGTGTTAAAATCATTGTTGCTACAATGCCACCATTTTCCCAAACTGTATTACAGTATGTTATTTCCTCATCATGAAGTGCTGCAATAAAATAATCAGAGAAAAAGGACATCTAATGGTTTATTTTTCTTGCTTTGTAGCCATTCTATTTAGTGGATGTTTTATGGTGTTGCAGTGCTTCTGAAGATTTTAGAGTGCAATGAGTGGGGTTGAATGTTAATTTTCAGAGACATCATCAGACACATACTTTTGATGCTAAACTGTAAAAGACACTGGCAATAGGAGGGAAGTGATTTTGCAAAGTGGAGTATCTGTTTTCTGCCACTTTGGAGTTAATGTCCTTTATAGCTTGTTTTAGGTGTGCAAGTTTAGCTGAATTCAGTAGGGATTATGTTTATATAGAAAACAGTATGTGTCTTCTAGAAAGATCCTGTCTTAACTAAAACCATCTTAATTCTAAGCTTCCCTCTCCAAACATCTGACGTGCTCACGTAACTTTTGAAATTGTCAAGATTCTTTCCAGAACCAGAAAGGGCTCAAATTAAAGCAAGCTTTGCTTTGTCTGTATCATTTGTAGTTTGTACAGAAAACCATGGTTATGAAAAATTAACCAACAGCCATATATTTATAAATGTTATATTTGTAGTAAGCTTTGATGCATAGGAACAGACTTCAGGGCCATGAGTGATTAATGAATCTGCATCAAAAGCACAATTTTTTTGGTGTCCCCATTGGTCACATGTCTCCCTGCAGCTGCAAGACCTCAGGCACTCAGGGGATCCCCCTTTCACTGTTGGCACTCCTGTGTGCAGTCATGGCAGCTGGCTGCTCTGGAAAGTCTATTTTAAAGCCCACTTTTTCAGAGGGCAAGGTGTGCTTAGCCTTGTCTGGTCACACAGTTTGCTTTGAAATTTGATGTGTTAGTTAAGCCCATGTGTCAGGTAGTGCTGCTACCATAAACAATCTTGCCTGCAGTGCAGTGAGCCAAACAGCACTGGGAACTGGAAGAGTCTTGGTAACTGTGATATCACTGACATGTTTTAGCATTTGTTTTCACTTCTCATCACGATTTTCTCTGATATGGCAGTAAAAGTACGTATAGGGTTTAATTCCTTTTTGTGTGTGTGTACAGTAACTTCATCAACTATTAATAAAACAAGGTGCTATATAATTACTGGTATCAGCCACTAGAGGGGGGGACATCATTTATAAGATAGCATCTTTCTTAGCCTTTTACTGTTTTTACTGTATCCATCTCTTCAGCATTGTAACAATACCAAGGTAAAGTTACAGTATGATGATGATTGCAGAAATGATGAGAAATTTATCACTAATATAAATTATTTTTGCCTTGTAGGTGTGGTATTCCATTATCGTGCAGCAACCAGCAGGTATACTCTGAATTTTACACAAGCTCAGCAGACTTGTCTGGACAATGGTGCCGTCATGGCAAGCCCAGAACAACTGAAAGCAGCCTATGAGGATGGATTTGAGCAATGTGACGCTGGCTGGGTGTCTGACCAGACTGTTAGGTGAGAAAAGCCTCATGAAAGTTTCCCAAAATTAATATGCTTAGACTGTACAAACTTAAAATGTTGCCTTATCTTAATAATAAATATGAGCATGTTGCATTTTCAGGTATCCAATTAGACATCCAAGAATTGGCTGCTTTGGAGATAAAATGGGAAAGAAAGGAGTCAGAACGTATGGGCGCCGTTTTCCTAATGAAACTTATGATGTGTATTGCTATGTGGAACACATGGAAGGTAAGATGGGTCCATATTTACTTTGCACTGAAAAATTTAAAAGTCACTGGAGGTTCTAATGTGGAAAGGCAAAGAAATATGAAATTCTGTGTAAAAGAAGTTTTGGCCAGTTTGAATCTGAAGAGAATTGCTGAATGAAGTGAACCTATAGTTTGTGGCCTAGCAGGCCTTCATTAAAGGCGAATGTGGAGTCTACAAAGACACAGTCAGGTTTAAAGCTGCTATAGTTAGTGCAGTAGATCTCACAAAAGTTGCTGTTAGAGCATCTTATTTTTTGAACGTTATGAAAGGATTTTCAAAGAAACACATTTAACATTTGAGAAACTATATATACAATGGACACATATATAAAGATGGATATAGTACATGTGCTAACTGTATTATAGCTTATGAAGTATGTAATTAAGGGTTTTACGTGTCCGTGGCATAAAATTAGACAGATATTTAACTGCAATCCAAGTTTAATAATATCTTTTTTTTTTAAAACAGAGTATCTTAGCATCAAAAATAAACAAACAAGTAGAAACATTCCAGTGAGGAATCTGAATCTTCTTTAGTACAACTATAGCTTTTGCAAAAGCTGCTCATTAAAGGACTCTAATGCAGCAGAGTGATAATTATTCTGCCACATAGTGACTATAACCATGGATCATATTGTGAACAACATGGTACCTTGTGGTCCATGGGTCTGTGATTTGTCTTTATTAAAAAAAAAAAAAAAAAAAAAAAAAA